AATTCTGGGAGTTGAAGTCCACAAGTCTTAAAGTTGCCAAGGTTGGACACCCCTGGCCTAAACGATTGGGAGAGCTCTCAAGCAGGAAGCACTATAGATGGTCTTCGGTTACTTCCAAAGGCAGGCCTAACAACAGGAAGTAGACGTGGCAAACCAGCAACTTCCAGCCAGCCTTGTCGGGAAACTTCCATAAAGTTGGTTTGTGGGGGAGCCAGTGGCCTCCAGAGGAAGGGGATTCTTTTGAGTAGCCACCTGCAGGGCTGCTCTCCTTCCACCCTGTATGGTAAATCCAGCACTGAGCAGAGTTTGGACTGGCCTTTATCCGTATCCCTGAGGATCAGTGGGTTTCCGGCATTAAGGCAGACCAAAAATGGCCCCTTGTTCTTGGTGGCCAGGTTTCTGCTTGGTGCCCCTGTGGCTCATTTTCTGCTCTTTCTGGTTTGCCACCAGTGCTCCAGGACCTGCGGAGGAGGTGTGAAAATTCGGGGCATCCACTGCATTGACACGCGGGGCCAGCGGCCTCTGCGACCCTTTCATTGCCAGGCTGCTTCCAACAAGCCTCCCACACAGTTGCCGTGCCACACCAAGCCTTGTCTGAGCTGGTACACCTCCACCTGGAGAGAGGTGAGCCGAATGTCACTGGAGGTGGAGGAAGACCCTGACTGCAACCCGAACCCTCATTCCCTAGTCCTCTTCCCCCAACACACATGGCCGGTGGAAGCTGGCCGCCTTGGGCAGGCTGGGAAGCTCTTTGCGGGGTGGGGAGAGGGGCTGCTGTCCTGCTGGGTGACCATTCCCTCTGAAGGAAAGCCCACGGCGTTCTCCCGCTTGGTTCCCCCTGCAAACCCTGGAGCCCAGCACGTCCAAGGAGGAGACTCGGGGGCTGTAGAAGAAGCGGCTCCTGCAGTGCCAGAATATCTCCAGTTGAAGTTGAAGCCAGCAATGCGTGACTTGCTGACTCCTGGGGGTTGGGGGTCCTGGCCGCGTTGGCTCCACCGCGGAAGATGGCCTGGTGCTCCTGTGATGGCTTAGCAGGAAGGGGGCGCCAAGGGGCCAGGCCGTCCTAGCGGCTTCGGAGTCAAACGCCTCTTTCCACCCTCCCAGTGCTCTGAGCTGTGTGGAGGAGGCGAGCAAGAGCGCCTGGTGACGTGTCCCGGAACGGGGAGGTGTGACCCAGCCCTCCGGCCAAACAGCACAAGACCCTGCAACACCCAGCCCTGCACCAAGTGGAGAGTGGGATCTTGGGGGCAGGTAAGCCCCTTCGGTGACACGGGCCCCGGCCTGCCTGTGCCCCCAGAGCAGGACAAGCCGGGGCTCAGAGAGCTGTGTTCCCTGCAGTGCACGGCCACGTGTGGCGAGGGCATCCAGAGGAGGCAGGTGAAGTGCCTGAACACCAACACCGGACAGGCAGAAGAAGACAGTAGCTTGTGTGAGCACGAACCCTGGCCGGAGAAGACCCAGAGGTGCAATGCCCAGGACTGTTCTGCCAGCGAAGCAAGTAAGTGGGCGTCTAGGGTGGCTGGGCACTTATCCATCTCATGGCCGAATGACCGGGAGCCCCTTCTTGGGGCATTGCTGGGTGTTCGGCTGTTTTGGACAATTATCCAGCTGGGATAATTGGCTGTGCCTGTGGGGTGCCTTCGAATAAGGAGGGTGCCAGTGTTGGCTGTGTGTGTGCAGTTGTTCCAAATGTAGGTGTCTTTTTATGGCATCTGGGCCACTTCTGGATTGGCATCAGTGAAACTCGCTGGCAAAGGTTTGGCGTGGCTGCCCACTTGGGCAGACTTTGAGAGAAGACCTCTTTGAGCCACCTGGCAAATGACTGGAGAGTTGGGTACTACATCTCTGGCCTCTGGGCTGGTTACCTGGTTTGTCGGCAGAACACAGGTGGGTTCATTCACCCACAGCTGGACTCTCTTGATGACGGGTGTCCAACTCGATTTCATTGAGGGTCGCATCAGGGTTGTGTTTGACCTCGGGCACGGGGGGGGGGATAGTGTGGGCGTTGCCAGGGTAGGCATGGCCAGCTTGACCTCATTCGTGTCAGGGGCACCGAGTGCTCTGCCAGTGAAAACAGGCGCCCAATCTCCCAGTTTTTGGCTGGGACGGCCTCCTGCAACCTTCTGCCAGTGCTGGCGGAGGGTTGCAGGAGGCCGTCCCAGCGGAAAACGGAGATTGGGAGCCCATTTCTGCTGGCAGAGGCACCACAGGCCGATCCTTCGCTCTTTCCAGGATGGCCACGTGGGCCGGATCTGGCCCCAGGCACCCCTGCTCTAGGACCTCTGATCTCTGCGAGCCCCTGGATCTGAGACAAACGTCCCAGGTTGACCCTGATTCCCATTTCTGCCGACCATCAGGCTTTTCCTGCCTCACAGGGAAGGATTCTGGTAACCCAGCCTCTTCTCTTCCTGGGCCTCGGAGGGTCCTGCTCTGCTTCAGAAGAGAAACCCAAGACAGGCCTCTTCCTCCGGCTGCATTCCAAGGTTTTATCTCCACCAGGAATGCTGTAAACAGCGGGGCCATCAGAGTGTTTGGCAGGCAGACCGGCGGGGAGCGTGAGACTTTCTGGAGATGGAGGGGAAGAGAAGAGGCTGAGCATTCAGCTGTGGACCTGGTTGCTTTTGTCCTTGGCGGAAAAGATTGGCTGGATCAAGATCCCAACGTGTGGGGTCTTGATCTAGCCTGACCACAGTTCGTGTGTTTCTACTGAATTCAGGCTTCTTAAAAAAAAAAAAAACACCGAGAGGACACAACCGCTTCCCTGTTTTAAGTTGACAAGAGAGGCCCCTTTTGTGTTTTGGTTTGATGCTGGTAACTAGCGCTTCCCCAAACAAATTACTTGAACAGCACAGAAAAAGTATAGAAAAAGACAACATCCTGATGGGGGTTTTACGAAACACAAGGCAGCGTTCAGCCTTTGACAGAGCTGGCCCACCAGAGGTTAAGGGCCTACCTAACCTTTGCTTTCTGGGGTGGGGTGGGATTTCTAATCTCCATGGACTAGAAAACGAGAGACATTTTAGATGCCACTTTTCAATGAGAGACAAAAACTTTCAGCCCCTGGCTAATGCTCAAAGCGCCATTGGGTGTCTCATTTCCTGCAGCAAAGATTATTTTTGTGGCCGGGGGTGTGTGTGTGTGTGTGTGGGTGTGGAGTGGGTGGGGGGGTGAGGAGGATTGTGGGCCTCCTCAGAGGGGAAGATTCACCTCCTGCTTGGTTTCTGCCGCTCTAAAGAGGTGTGGAGTGATTCCTTGCACAGACTTTGCAAGCCCCCCCCTCCCCCCTTCTGCCACTGCGTTTGTTTTCATTCTTGAGGAAGAGGAAGACAATCCACACACATCCCAGAGAGCCCAGGATGAGGACAGGCAAGACGTCTGACGGGTGGAAAGGAGTCCGACAAAGGGCTTTCGAGGGGAGCATTGTGTGATGAGATGGTTACCGCAGGTTTGGATGTCATCTGGGAGGCCCCTGCAATTTGACAGAAGGTTCCATCCTGATGTGTCATCCGGTCTTGGAGCAAAAATGGCTCCCTTTTAATTTCTTAACCTCTGGTTCTTGTCTTGCCTTTTGGAGCAGTAAAGAACAAATTTGTTTAAGCTGCGCAAACCTTCTGACAACATGCTTCCTGTTCACTCTAGTTTTGAGAAGCCGATCCAAGTATTCCCCATATGATTCGACTCGGTTTGGATTCCCCCCGACTCCAACCCAGTCCTACTGCGTTTGCAGAGTAGATCACTGCTATTTGGCATTGCCACAACTTTCTCTTGCTACCTGGTTCAAGTGGCTTAGGAACTGCTTTAGTCACCTGGGACAATTGATGGTTTAAAACTGTTGGTGGAAACAGAACACAGCGGTAGATATCAACAGTGGCGATGGAAATCCTCTGTGCCCAAAGGGAGTTTATACTAAGTGGCAAACTGTCCTTAGCGGTATGGACCAAGACCCTCATTGTCCTGCCCTTGTTGGAGTCTGATTCTGAGGGGGAGATTGAGCAGCTGACAGGGAGTGGGAGTGTGGCTCCGGTGGTTGTGGAGGAAACGGGGGAAGGGCACAGTCTGGCTGGGCCTTCAGAGGAAGACCCAGGCCCATCCCCTCTTCATCCTAGGGCATGCAGGGAGGAACGGAGAAGGGAGCAACATGGCTTATGAGAGAGAAGAAGGCCCTGATCCCTTTCATTTGTTGCAGCTGGGAAAACAGGATATAAGTGGGACATTTGCACACGGTTCCTTGCTGGAAGCAAAGCGTGCATTATCTTGGTCAAGCCTCATCTGGGTTTTGGCGTCTTCCCAACTGTGGGTGCTGAGTTATCCTTTGAAAGTCTGCAATTTATCATCCTGGCCTGCTGTGTTAATTACTTCAGTGTGGTTTGTGTTGGTTTTTTTATTTCTAATTATCTTTACTTTGGGTTCGGACTGCATTTCTGCCCTTCGTAGACTGTTTTTGGAAGAGTTTCATCTCCAGCCAAGGATAACTGGACATTGGGGGCCAAGTTGGAGGCATGAAAGGGACTATACCTATTTTTGTGACTTTGTTGCTTTTGTGCCACGCCCCGGCTCATCACACTCATCCTGGGTGCTATTGCCATTGTGAAGAAAGATGCAGAGGTTGATCAGGGTCACACAACATGCTTAGTGGGGTTAATGATGGGGCTGTAGGTTGGGTGAACCTCTTGACCCAGTTAGGCGAGAAAAGTAGGTGTAAACCAAACCAATGTTTGCCACTCCGTGAGATTGGGTAGACTCCATCCCACCCCCCTCTCTATCAGTCTGTCGTGAGACAGCGCCCGTGCCCCTCCCAGCCCGCCTTCTGAGGAGGGGAGAACAGGACATGTGGAGAGGCTGACCGGTCAGCTGTGAGCATTGGACTTTTCCCCTTCAACCGAAAAGAATGAACTTCTGAAAACCAGGTGTTTGAAAAGGGATCCTTTATTGAAAGGGGTTTTATCTCAACACCAGGCAAAGCAGAATCTAAGATACCCCCAGGCAGACAGTCATAGATAAAGGAAGTTAAAAGCCCTCCCCTCATTCAGATGTGGAGTTAGTCAAACAAAGAACCAACAAGTTAATTCTCCCCTCTCCTTCTCTGGGAACTTATCTTGCAGAGTTCCCAGGAGTTTCTTCCAGGGCTGGAATTTTTATGGTCCCTTCTCATCCTGTTTCTCTTCCAGAGGTGACAAGTTTCTGGACATCTGGCTCCAGTCCTCCAGTTGTATATCATGTGCAAGTGATACAGAATCAATATAGGATTTAATATATTCAGGTTACATCAAAAAGGATTACTTGTACCAACTCCCCCCCCCTTCTTCTTCCATTGAAGAGTGGCAGATAAACGGATCTGACACCGGCCCTCCATGACAAAGGCTCCTGCCTTCTCTTCTCTCCCAGGCTTCATCTGTGAGCGTGACCGCGTCTCCTTTGGCTTCTGCCAGACCCTGCTGTGGCTGGGAAGATGCCACCTCCCCGCAGTCCGTGTCCAGTGCTGCCAGACCTGCCACCCACACGGCCTGCTCCATCGGGACCGGGGTGACGAGCGCTCCTCCCGGAAGTGAACGCCTCTGTGTGCCCAGGAACCTGGCGGGCGAGAGCTGCACCCACTTCAGCCGGCCAGCTCTTCCGCCCTCCCGGAAACCAACCCATGTTTTCTGCCTGGCATGGCGCTCCGTCCTGTGGCTGAGCTGTGCTCCAGGCAGCCGAAGAGAAGCCTTGCGGCCTCAGCCCAGGAAGGAGCCGGCGGGGGCCAATGCAACCTGGCCTCAGGAAAGCGGCTTCCGGAAGCCACCTCAGAAATCTCTCTGGTCTACAGTTGGTCATAGTCACTCAGTGTTGGCAGGCCAGCACAAAACTCCTGAGGAGTGATTTAAAATAAATAATAAAGCCAACTATTTTTATATTTTATGGAAATGGGCCTGTGGCATTCCACAGAGTGTAATTTGATCAGTTGGTTGTGTTATAACTACAAAGATTTTTCTTGCTATAGGTGTGAGGAGCTTCAGACAGTGAAGTTAAATGTCCTGGTGCTGACTGTGCACGCTTGCACACACACACACACACACACACACACACACATGTGGTGCTACTGCTCTTGAGACGGTCAGGTGCTTCTACTCCGCCCAGCTTTGGGTGGGTTAATAGCTCCTCCAGCAGGGCTGGCAGTCCTGTGCCAACCTGTTCTGCCATCTGGTGCCACCTGAGACTTGCAAGCCAAAAGGATGCCTGTAGCTGGTGCAGGACAGAGGCCAACCTGCCTAAGATTGCCCAGGTAAGGGACTCAATGGAAACATGTCTGACTATACAACTGTTCTGCCTCCTTTCACTGCCCAACCAGGTCTTCTAGAAGCTTCATTCCCTTTCTTTGTGAACGAAGAACGCTTGATATCGGATCTACATTTTCTCCATTTCTAACTTACGTTGTTAGTCACACTGGCAAAAATACGTCTGACTCAAGATTGTGTGTTTGCTTTCTTACTTGCCCCTTGAAATTGGAGAAATGGTGCAGAAGTCCCCTGAAAGGTCTACCCATCTAAACTTTGTGTAATCTTCAGACAACATAAAAGATCACCCTGTTTTAACGGAAGGATGGCATGGCTTGGCTTATTTGTCTGCCTGGTGAGAGGGTTGTGCTTTGGGTCCATCTTGACTCCCGGTGGCTCCGTGGACAGGGCCGTGCAGTGTTGGTAGCAGGCTGTGGAAGCAACTTGCCCTTGTTTCTTCTGAGGTGTGTTTTGACCCCCTATCTAGGCTAAGAGAGAGGGACTGGCCTGTAATCACCCTGCTGCCTTTGGGGCCCCAGACAGGGCTAGAACCCATGGCCTCCAGGCCTTCACCATGAGACCAAACGGGAGCTCAGCCGTTCTGTGGACTTAGCCAAGGTTTAAGACCGCTTTGTCCACTTCAGAATACCAAATGTCATCCTCATTCCAAGATGAAGTTTCCCAATCAACCTATCGGAAAAACTGAACATTGTTTGGGAGAAAAGTATTGTAATACCTTTCTAAAATTGTAATGGCTATAGCTCTCAAGTGTGTTAAACTGCAATACTAAAGTTACATCTAATTCTGTTGTATTTTTTTTCTGTTAAATTTTTTTTAAATTGTACCCATCTTGTCTTCTTAGTCTGTGTGTGCTTGCTTAGCGTGGCTACAACCCACTCAGAATATCAGAGCGTATGGTGCCTGTGTTCGCTCCGTGAGATCCAGCTCCTCCCAGGTGCCTTTGGAAGGCAGTGGAAGTCAGTCAGGAGCTGCTTAAAATTTGGGCCACTTTTGTGGTTCCCCAAAGCTCCCACTCCACATCTTGGTGAATGGGATTTTAACGGTGCAGATGCTTCATTTTCCTGGAAGATCCCACCCCACAGCCTGGCCAATCTTTCTAACAGACGCCTGCCTCCTTGCAAGTGGCCAGCCACCGGAGGGCACCAGCCAGGGACTGTGGCCGCCAAGCCCTGCTGCTTCTGGAGCCAAGAGGCAGGTGGGATAGGAATGGCCTCTAATACACCTTCTGTCATGCCCGTGGGAATCTGATTCGGAGGGGAAGGCTGAGCAGCTGACAGCGAGGGGGAGTGTGGCTCCAGTGGCTGTGGAAGAAACCGGGGAAGGGCAAAGTCCGGCTGGGCAAAGCAGGGGAGAGGTAGAGCAAGGCAAAGGGAATTCAGAGGAAGGCCCAGGCCCACCCCCTCTTCATCCTAGGGCACGCAGGGAGGAACGGAAAAGGGAGCAACATGAGTTGCGTGGCTTACAGGGGAGGAAAGGGCCCTGATTCCCTTCATTAGCTGCAGCTAGGGACAGTGTTTAAAAAGGGAGATTGCGCACAGCAAGTTGTTGGAAGCGAATTGTGAGTTATCTTTTATTGTTGAGGCTTATCTGGGTTCCTGGCCTCTTCCCAACTGTGTGTTTTGTTGGCCTTTGAAGTCTGCAATTCCTTATCCTGCCCCGTTCAGTTAATTGCTGCAGCGTGGTTTGTGTGGATTTTTATTTACAGTTGTACTTTGTTTTCAGACTAAATTTCCTCCACTTAAGGACTTTTTAGAAGAGTTTTTCCTCCAGCCGAAGGTGACTGGACATTGGGGGCAAAGTTGGAGGTGTTTTCTTACCTATGTGACTGTGTTGCCTTTGTGCCACACCCTGGGTCATCACACCTTCCCTGAGTGGAGACCATACCCCGATATCTCCCTCTGCTCATCCCACTTTTGTGTTACCTTCTCCATCTGTGTGTGTGTGGGGGTGGGGTGTCTTTAACTGGGGTTTCTGCCCTGAGCAGGGGCTGACTCAGTGGTCTGAATTTCAGCTGAGGGATTAAAAGTTTTGACCAAAACATTTTGCTTTAAAGCAAAAATGAGTAACCAGACTACAAAAATGGTCACTAAATGCTACTTAATGTCATACAATTAGAACATTATTTGATACTTAAGTGGAATGGCGATCATATTATCTGAATTTATTGTAGAGCTTCCCCCCAAAGAAGACAGCCTAGAAAACATTGTGCCCCTTTGATTTAAGGGTTGTGTTCAGAATCACCTCAGTTCAACTTGTCTAAACAACGGAGTCCACAAATGTCTTCAGCAGTATCAGAAACCAGAGTATGCTGCACTGTGGAGACTGAAGCCCTTGGAGAACGTTCCTTCCATGACAAGTTAAATCCAATGGTAGCTTTAGGAAAGCTTCATTTGTGTTGCTAATGGGAGGAGCTCAGGCGGAGCCCACGGCTGTCCCATAGCCAGGGGTCACAAAGACCCCTTCAAAACAGTCTTGTCTCTGGTAGGTACAGTGGAGACTCACACTGTCCAACGACTGAACTTTCCATCTGGAAAACTGTGTGATGATTTTGGAGGGAGGAAAAAATGATGAGAAATACAGACAGAAACTGTTGGGACAGTTCGGGGAATCCCCCTCCTTTCACCTCACCTGACCGATGTGCTTCGGGGGCCAGGTAACACTTTTTTAACAGCTGGGCTTTAAAACTCAGAAAAACAGAAGACCACCACCATAATCCTCAGCTGAGGAAAGGGAAATATTTCAGTCTCCCCACGCTCCTGAGTTAACTTTTAAAAACACTGGTTTGTTACTTATTTGATTCCAATGACGTTTCCAGCAGTGCCTTTGGTAGGGGTTGCTTTTCTGGATGGGGTGCGGGGCTCCGTTTACATCCCTTGCTTGGAAAAAACAACAACAACCCATTGCTCTCCTTCAGTATCCTTTCCCCTGTTTCCTGCGGAGACGGCGTTTGAGCAGTCAGGCGGCCACCAGCTTTGCGCCTGGGCTTGGGGCCACGCGGCCCGTGAGTGTGGCTGAAGGCTTGGCGCAGGGCCTGGATGCCAGGCGGCCAGGGAGAGCAAGCAGCAGTCCCAGAGGGACGCCATGGCCCTGGGCCAGGAAGCGCCCGATCTGAGAGAGATGCCCTCTGCATGGAACAGTCTGAGGGCCCCGATTATTTGGCTTGCCAGAACGACCTGAAGCAGAGGTCTCCAAACTTGGCCACTTTAAGCCTGGCGGACTTCAACTCCCAGAATTCCCCAGCCAGCTATGCTGGAGAGTGCAGCCGCCGTAGGGCGATGCTGCCAGCCTCAGGCCCCAGGCTGGGGGGAATGGCACCCTCGAGGCAGCCTTTGTGAGGGGCTGCAGTGGCTCCAGAGGTGAGGCCGGGGCCTTGGTGGGAGATGGCACCAAGCTCTCCGTGACCCAGAGCGAGCCTTTCGCCTCTATGGCTGGCCGGCTATTTCATTGCCCAGTGCCAACAGCACTGCCACCATGTGGTTATATGAACTTTGCCCTTGTGGATTCTGGCATATTTCTCATCTGTTTGGACACACCCTTTCCCCTTTCTAGGGAAAATACAATGATATATTAAAAAAATAAACATTTTCTCAACAATTCTGTATTTGATTCACCCTTAACAGAGTAGCTATTTATATATACTTCATTAAGGAAGTGGAAAAATCAACTAAAATCACATTTTAAAAATTACAACACACATTAAGCGAACGTAGAAGGGTTGGACCTTGGAGGTCTTCTAATCTTAACTCCCTGCTTGAGCAGGAGACCTTAATATCATTCCAGACTGGTTGTCCAATCTCTTTTTCATAAGTTGGCAGTAAAAATTATTCATATTTAGAAATATCAACTTTAAGAGAATATTAATTTTTCATTCTATAGAGTTCATCTGAGGTTGATCAGGCCTGCTCGCTCTTGTTTGCAATTAATTGGATGCTTTCAAAATGATGCCTTCAAGATAATTTTTAGTATTAAATTCAAGATAATGTTATATAGAAAGAAGTTGATACAAAGAAGGCAGACATTCCAAGTCAGTCGGGGTCCTGCACACACTGCTCCACAATCTCCCGCAAACTGGGATTCTCCATGGCTGCTGCGACTCTCTCTTTATCATTGATTTGTTTGTTGACTGCAACACAATGGAAAAATTC